GTATTTCCATCAAATTGACTATAATATGAAACTTTTGATTTTAATGGTGTATCAAATTTTCCAACTTATAACTATTAAAGCCGGTTTTCCCCAAAACCCCACAAAATTGTCAAGGTTAAGGTATGCATACAGGGGTTCCATCCGATTTGCGCCCTTTTAAGATTTAGAACCTTTTCTCGCCGAATTGACTGTTATTTAAAAATATGTTTGCCGATGTGGCTAAATCTGACATTCCGGATTCCCAGTGAAAAAGTTCTTTCCAGAAAGTTTCAGATTAGGTTCGTGAGTGTATCAAATTTTCCAACTTATAACTATTAAAGCCGGTTTTCCCCAAAACCCCACAAAATTGTCAAGGTTAAGGTATGCATACAGGGGTTCCATCCGATTTGCGCCCTTTTAAGATTTAGAACCTTTTCTCGCCGAATTGACTGTTATTTAAAAATATGTTTGCCGATGTGGCTAAATCTGACATTCCGGATTCCCAGTGAAAAATTCTTTCCAGAAAGTTTCAGATTAGGTTCGTGAGTTTTACATGGCTCCCATACAAAGACTTTTCATTTTACCAAATAAACAACCTACCAGCATGCGATTATGAATCCTGTGGATTTTACATGATTCCCGCCTAACGGCTTAAACCATGATGCGCCATTGGGTGTCGAAATTGAGCGTCGACCAGAGCACCATTGGGAAAGCTCAGAGTACACAATGAGCACTCTGAAGCCAATCCGCCGATACCAATTCGAAGATCCGCTGCAAAGCTTCACTTTCTCCTTGGTGAGGAGTCGAGCGCCCGGTTGATGATCCAACTCCACATCGAGCTGAAGCTCTTCCAACGAAAAATGATGTAGCCACCAAATGTAGTACCCAGTAATTTTTTTAGAATATTTTAATACGCTCCACATGATGGAGGGTATAAGAAGTTCTGATCGGCCGAACTTTAAGATTTTTTACTTGTTTACATATGTCCTGACATTTTTTAAGATTTGAAAATCAAACATTTTAGACGTGTTCGAAAAGTGCTAAATCTAGCACTAAAAGTGCTAAATTGGCAACACTGTCTATGAGAGACGAATTTTGAAGTTGCCTTTAAAATGGGAACAAATCAACAAATCATACAAGAAAATGGTGCACATTTTGCACAAATCGGAAATTCCGAAGTAGGTTAAATAAAGACCTATAGTTCATATAAAAATAATAGATTTCTTTTTCCCCAAAATAATATAAGGTATATGTTTTAATGAAAGAGGGTTTTTATGTATGTTGATCAAATCAATTGTTCAATTCGCTTCAATAAAGTGTACAAGTTTTTTTAAAGTGGCCAGACGGGTCCAAACTTAGGACTTTATCTAGGTGGTAAGTAAAAAATAAAAGGTTGTGCAAAATTGATATTGGATTAATAAATGTTGAAACTCTTGACAAATTGTGGCGGAGGTAGGAGAAGGAGTGGATCAATTGGTCTCATCTTCGGATATAATCTAAGCTTGCTCAAAATAATAGGTTGTACAAAGTTTGGTTTAAATCGGACAATCCACACGGCTAATATTGAATTTGTAAATATTCAACATTTTGACCATTTGTGGGGGAGGTACCAGAAGGAGTTGACCAAAAGGTCCCATCTTAAGACTTGCTCTAGGATTGGTGAATTTCGGCTTTCGGGTATTCCATTCACCTGATTAAACCCTTCACCACACTGTAGTATAGGGTATTATGTCTTTGTGCATATGTTTGTAACAGGCAAAAGGAAACGAGATAGACACATGGTTCCTATTGAGAATATGCATAGACTCACGTTCTGAGTCGATTTACGCATGTCCGTCTGTCTGTCCGTCCATGTTAAATTGTAAACAAAGTACAGGTCGCATTTATGATCCGAATGGCATAGGTCACTTGGTTGGCCCAAAGACGAACCCTACTGAAATTGAGAAAAATCGGTTCAGATTTAGATATAGCTCCCATATATATTTTCGTCCGATTTAATGTAAATGGTGTACCAAAGTCCCTATATATCTTTGATTTGCACGAAATTTCGCATAGCGTAATGAATTAGGTCTGGACTGATGTGTGTCAAGTTTCCTGAAAATCGGTCCAGAGTTAGATATAGCTCCCATATATATTTTCGTCCGATTTAATGTAAATGGTGCACCAAAGTCCCTATATATCTTTTGATTTGAATGAAATTTGGTACAGCGTAATGAATTTGTTCTAGAATGATTTTATGTAAAATTATGTAAATTGTGCACTAAATACCCAAAGTTTGTCCGATTGTCACACAATTTCGTACAATGAACTGTAGTTAATATAAGTTACAGCCTGTTTTTGTGAAATTCCAAACGAATGAATTCGAGTGACTTACGACCAAACTCCTTGGTTTTGAAAATTATTTATTTTTGTTTTGAATTAGAAAACATTTATAAATGTTTGGTCGTAAGTCACTCGAATTCGTTCGGTTGGAATTTTACAAAAACAGGCTGTTAATCTCTGGCAAGTCTCATTGAAATCGGTTCGCATTATTATACCCTTCACCACACTGTGGTAAAGGGTATTATGTCTTTGTGCATATGTTTGTAACAGGCAAAAGGAAACGAGATAGACACATGGTTCCTTTTGAGAATATGCATAGAATAACTTTCTGAGTCGATTTACGCATGTCCGTCTGTCCGTCCATGTATTTTTGTAAACCATGTACAGGTCGCATTTATGATCCGATTTGGATGAAATTTGGCATAGGTCACTTATTTGGCCCATGGACGAACCCTATTGAAATTGAGAAAAATCGGTTCAGATTTAGATATAGCTCCCATATATATTTTCGTTCGATTTAATGTAAATGGAGCACCAAAGTTCCTATATATCATTCGATTTGCACGAAATTTGGCACAACGTAATGAATTAGGCCTAGAATTGTGTGTGCTGAGTTTGATTAAAATCGGTTCAGATTTAGATATAGCTCCCATATATAGTTTCGTCCGATTTTATGTATATGGTGCACCAAAGTCTCTATATATCTTTCGATTTGCACGAAATTTGGCACAGCGTAATGAATGAAGTATAGAATAATGTGTGTTAAGTTTCCTGAAAATCGGTTCAGATTTAGATATAGCTCCCATATATATTTTTTCCGATTCTATGTAAATGGTGCACCAAAGTTCCTATATACCTTTCGATTTGCATGAAATTTGGCATAGCGTACTGAATTATGTCTAGAATGACGTATGCTAAGTTTCGTGAAAATCGGTTAAGATTTACAGATAGTTCCCATATATATTTTCGTCCAATTTAAGGTAAATGGTGTACCAAAGTCCCTTAATATCTTTCGGTTTGCACGAAATTTGGCACAATGTAATGAATTAGGTCTAGAATGATGTGTGTTAAATTTCCTGAAATCGTTGAAATCGGTTCAGATTTAGATATAGCTTCTATATCTGACCAAATGAAAAAAATAGTATAGATTGCAGAATGACATGTTTATGGATCCAATTTCATTTTGATGGTCCTTTTAAAATGCGACGTCTGTTAGGATTCATCTGTTGAATATACCCAAAGTGGTGAAGGGTATCATATAGTCGGCCCCGGGGTAGGGTATCATATACTTTCCTTGCTGGTATATATATATATATATATATCTGACCAAATGAAAAATTTAGTATATGTTGCAGAATGACATGTTTATGGATCAATTTTTGTGTTTATGGTCCTTCAACGTCTGTTAGGATTCATCTGTTGAATATACCCAAAGTGGTGAAGGGTATCATATAGTCGGCCCGTCCCACTTTACTGCTTTCCTTACTGGTTTCAGATTTAAAATTATTGAAAATTTTCAACATTTGTGAGGGAGGTACCAGAAGAAGTGGACCCATAGGTCCCACCTTTGGACGTTATCTAGGCTTGGCAAAGACAATATGTTGTCAAAGTTTCGTTAAAATCGGAGAGTCCGTTTGCATGCTATTATAAAATAAAGTTTAAGTGGATATCCTCCATCTTCGAACTGGAACTAAAGTTGGAAGAAATATTACGATGTGCAATGTTTTGATGAAATCGGTTGCTATCTTCGAGATTTATCGTGAGCACAAGCCGGCCAGGCAGAAAGATGGACCGACGTACGGATATCTGTAAATCGACTACAAATTGTCTGAAACGGATTTAGTCCAAAGAAATATGAGGTCTAAAACCAAAATTTCGATGAGGCACATTTTTGCCGTATAAAAGTTTATGTACTCTTATTAGCCATAAAGCTGAGTGTATAAAAATCTCCAAAATACTGAAAATTGGGGGGTATTAAGGGTTTGTTCCCAGTTAAAATATCAAGAAGCAACAAGCTGTATCTCAAAAACATTACCAATTATCAATCTGTCCTTCTGGGTACTCGCAAAAATATTTCCTTCCCATGAGGAACTTTCCATCACCCCTGACTATGAGCTCCAATTTGTGACACAGCGTAATCAGTGTCCACTCTGGATTCTGGAAGTGGAGTAAACATGTGGTTAGAGCCCGAATATAGAAGTCTCTCGACTCCGAAATGCTGATATTAACTTTAACATTCTTAATTTCAATTTATTAAATGTGTTTAATTTTCTTATATTGAACTTTCATTGGGACAACAATGAGTAAAAACTTTAAAAAATAATTAAGAAAAAAGAGAAATCAAGGAAAAAAGAACCGAATTTGCTACACCCTCTTTGGCCTAAGAAATATGCAACAAAGCAGAAAACCGGAAACCGGACATTGAACTCAATTTGAAAAGAAAACGAACAAAAATGTCGAAGTAAACATGAAATCTGGTTCCTTAAAAATAAAACTCAAGAAAAAATGAAAGGACAAGACAAAATTAAAAACAAAGAATATTTGTTTTTGCTAACAAAGCAAACTTTCAATGAAGACTGGAGAAGACGAATAATAATTAATAAGTAATAAATTAACATTGCAAATGAACGGTCCTCAGTATTACAAGAAACGAAATAAGAAAACTAATAATGAGAAGTAAATTGGTTGTCTCTACTTACATCGACATTGCCATTCCACATATAATGCATGCCGACCGCCGTTGGGTCATGATGCGTCTGTCCGGTCATGTGCTCTGCCATTACGGCACTCATCCAATGCACCAAACCTTGTGTTGGATTTTGACCTTGTACTCCACCTATGGGCATGGTGCTGCTATTGTTACTGCCGTGATGAGTTGAATGATGCTGATGATGATGATGGGAATGATGATTGCTCAATGGATGATGATGCTGACCGTGCTCTGTATTTGCAGCAGCCTGCGCTAAATGTTTTGATTTATTTGTCGACTTGTGCGTTAAGTGATGGGCAGACGTTGTTGAAACAACTCCTCGCCGACTATTTTCGTTAAGAATTGTTTCGCTTGCGTCCTCTTCCTCTTCGTCTTCGTGGTTGGCAATTTGTATTAATTGTCCACTGTCTGCAATTGTCTTCAAGGAGTTATGCGGATTGTGATAGACAGATTTCGTTGTTTGTTCTAAATTCAATTGTGTATCCGGGGGAGGTGTGGGCGGTGTTGCCGCGCTACCCGTTAATGGTGTACCGTTAATTGGTATTTGATTTAACGTTGTTGTTGATGTTGGCTCAATACTGTTATTATTATTTGTTTCACTTTCCGAATTTACGGTTGACCAGATATAATTTGTTGTTGGTTTCTGTAACAGACGAGAGAGAAGATGATAGATATCAGATGTTAAGTAAACAATTAGTGTAGACAATGCAAAAATTAATAAGTTTATGTCTTTATTTAAATTTTAAATGATTATAATTTTTATTCTCATGGGAGAAATAAAAGTTAAAGGTCATTGTTAGCAGTTTTAATCGGATTATTATATTTCATTAGATTTCGTAGGTAAGATTTGTAGCAAAAGAGTTGAAAGGTGTAATATGGATGGTAAGAAGTGCTTGTTTTATGACATTTTCTTAATGGTCTTTTCTTTAAATCTAAATCTGGCTCCTTAAAAATAAAACTCAAGAAAATTTATAAGGACATCTTTAAGAGCTTTATCAGGGCCTTGGTGAAAAAAGAAAATAAGTAATTTGGAATTTCGGATTCTTACAGGGTAAGAAATCTTCCTACTAAAAAGTAACCAAATTGGTTCACTTTTAGGTTAGAGCCCATATAACGGTACATCCTAAATTTCGATACTTTGGGAATTTGGGTACGTGTTTCAACCAAATTGGTCTTCATATAGGGGTATCGCCATTTTGAAGGTTTTAGCAGCAATTACAATTCCGATTTTCGGTATTATGGGTGACGTAGAGGATGAATTATGGCAAGCAACCGATTGGCTGATTGGCTTTAATATGGCAAAGCTATAGTATATCATGGTCCTTCTTTTATCTCAATTGTGGACGTTTATCTCCCGAGGAGTCGCCACGGCAGATTTTTAAAACACGTTTAAGTAGTGGAATTGGAAGTTATTCTACGTCAGTCTCGCATGCGACCATGCTGCCAGCGAAGTCAAAGATGAGCAGACCTGAAGACCGAGAGATCATTTCCTTGTAGCAGTCAAGGTTCGCAAGCGTCTTTATGTAGCAGGAAGGTACATAATGGAAACTCGACGTAGAAAAGCTGCAAACACAACAGATAGCAAAACCCTACTTAATTCGCAACTCGCTCAACTTCAAATGCTTCACGAAAGCACTAATTGCACCGGTAATACAGAAGCACAATGACAAAGAATTGCCCACTTTCTACAAACTGCAGAAAAACCGCACTTGGCTAACAATGATACCCACCAAGAAATCCAGAAACCCAAAAATTGGGTATAAACTCATTAACTGCCGCCTATGTCAAATGGTTCGGCAGTTAGTGAGTTTATACCCAATTTTTGGGTAAATACTCAAAATAGGGGTACCTTTGTATGGGGGCTACCAGTAGACGTGGACCTACATACGTAAAATTGTGCATGGACATTTGGTACCCAAAAAGAACACTCTGTGCCAAATTACAGCCAATTTGGTTGTAAAATGTGTCTAATAGGCAAAAAATACCTTAAATCGGAAGATACGGTTATATGGGGGCTATATCAAAACTTGGACCCAGGGACCCCATGTTGGATTTCTATATTTGCTTTGTCATTAGAAATATGTGTGCAAAATTTTGGCCGCCTATGTCAAGTGGTTCGGCAGTTAATGAGTTTTTACCCATTTTTCGGGTAAAAACTCGGGTATTTACCCAAGTATTTACCCACGTCTTTAAAGTATCGTAAAACTATATATTCTAAATCGATTTGATAACAGAAACCCGGAAATAGGGTGTAAGATGTTGTATTACTGAGTCAATATAGTAAATACCCAAATAAATACCCGCAAATGGGTATTTACCCACCCCTTGGGTATTTACCCGGTAAATACCATCTCTATTGATCAGCGACGATATTGCCATGCCCGTCTATTTGTCTGTTGTAATCACTCTATCGTCTAAACGAATTGAGATAGATCGCCAAAAAATTGCATGGAGTCGTCTTTTGTCTGCAGGCATGTTCGAAGATGGGCTTATCGGTCCACGTTTAGGCATAGCTCCCATATAAGAGTAGTATTTTGGGGTACTTGAGCGCGTTTTTCAACCGAATTCGCTGAAATTTGCTACATTGGGTTCTTATTGGGTACCAAATATATTCACTAAAAATTATAAATATCGGTCCACTACCCCCCATATAGGTAGGTACCTCCGAATTTTCTGTTTTTTGGGGGTTTTGATCGTATTTTTTCGCCGAATTAGCTGTAATTTAGTATTTTAAGTTGTTAATGGATACCAAATCTCTCCACAGAAAATTATGAATATAGGTCCATTTTTTCGTATAGCCCTCATATAAGGGTACCCCAATTTTCGGTATTTTGTGGTTCTTGAGCAATTTGCTGCAATTTGGTATTTTGTAGTCGTATATGGTAACAAATCTCCCTTCCAAAAATTATTAATATTTGCCCCCTTTTTGGTATTCCCCATATAACCCCCTTTTTATATTAAAATGTTTATCTGATTTGGCCGAACTTAACGTTTTTCACTTGTTGAACATTTTAAGTTGGTTTAAGTTTGAACAAATATTACGATAATATTATAGTACGCACTAGTCAGATAGAAAGACAGACGGAAGTTTGTAATCGATTTTAGATAGTCTGAAACGGATTTCGATGATGGATAGCCATACTATTGTGGGTGTACAACTATGTCGCTATGTCATACATCATTAAGAAAAAAATACTATCGCGGTACTTTAAAAGACTTTTTAAAAATATCCTGCCTGAGCTTTTTTATCGGCTTTTTTACCGACTAAAACACGAAAATAATGAGCTATATGTGTTGTACATCCTACATCCTAATCTTGCCACCGATTATTAGAAGGGAAATATATAATGGCCTTCGTCATACTGCACAATACTGTACAGATTGAATTAATTGCCGATATTTGAAATTTTCTTAATTCCGAATTTCATTTTCACAATATGGTTCATAGGTCATACGGGGTCTCATTGGTATAAGCTGAAGTTTTACCAGTTTTTTAGTACAGGAATTTCCACATTAAATTACTGCAAAGTGGTCAATCAATGCTCCTTCAATTTATTGTCAGTTGTCTATAGCATTTTGAGAAAATGGTACCACTGTAATGTCAGACGTTTGCTCCCTCATATGTTGTTTTAAAGAGTGGTTATATACGAATTAAATTACGGAACCCTACATTATTTAACAACTTACTATAAATCATGATGTGAAAATCTCTCTCTCTCTCAAAATCAAAACCTTTTATTCAAAATTATATATGAAGTCTTTAGATAAGCATTTCTACAGATTTCACATCCAACAAAATGTTTTGAAAATACTTCATAAATCCGTTTTACAAAGCAGAGAATACACTTTTTAACCAATTAGCCAATAATTTAACATGATTTCCTTTTGTACCACTTACATACAAACATAAAAAATATGCATCAAGTTTCTTTCAATACAATAAAAACACATTCATACACACACACACACACACACACATTAAAACAAACACAATTGAATATTCTACATTGTTTCTCTACCTTCTTCTCGTTGCAATGTAAAAACTTCTTTGTCGTCTCTGTGGCATCTTCGGCAGCAGATATGGTTGCTGCCACTGCAGCTGCATTTGCCACCAACGATGAGGATAACAAAAAATTGCGTGAAAAACTGTTGCTTCCAACATCAGCGGCAACAGGTGTCTGATGAGGAAACTTAAAATGACGCGTATCCTCATCGATGTGTTTACTTGAATGCGACAATTGTTGTTGTTGTTGTTGATGGCTGGCATTATATTGCAAATGTTGTGTGGCAGCATCAGATCTACTGCCACTGTTGGCATGCAAAACAGCCGATGCAAATAAATTCTTATAGAATTCGGCTGGCATAAGGAATGGTGAAGCTGGTGGCATTGCTGTCGGTTTGGATAGTTTTAAGGGCAATTTTGTAAATTCTTGGGGTAAAATTTCACTGGGTGATGTGTTGGAGTTTTCCGAATATGGTGACATCATAGTGGTATTTTGGTATTGATGGGTTAATTTGCGTTTTATTACTTTTAAATAGCTTTTTTATTTTCAGATATATATATATATATATATATATAATGTGTTTGTGTTGATATTGGATTCCGATTTCAGCTTCTGTAAACTTTTGAGCACATATTTTTCCGTTTCTTTTGTATAAGTTAGAATGTTTATTGCATGAATATTAAACCACGAAATTACGAGTATTGATGTAAAATGTGAGGAAATTTATAATATATATGTAATTGTAGACACATTCTGAGTCGATTAATGCATGTCCGCCTGCCTGTAAACAATGTACAGGTCGTATTTATGAGATAAAATTCGACACAGTCTACTTATTTGTCCCAAGGACGAGCCCTGTTGAATTTGAAAATAGGTATGTCCGATTCCAAAATAGTTCACCCACAATATCTGAACGAATGAGACAAAATAATGCACAGCGTACTGAATCAGGGAGAGAATGACGTATCTGAAGTTTTGTTGAAATTGATTCAGCTCCCATATATATGGAAGATTCATCAAAAAATCGCAATGATCAATGGTTGCTCTGGTGCGTTATCATGGTTCTAAATTCATGATTGTGATTCCACAATCCTGTTGAATTACCTGTCGATAGAATAAATATAGCATGATATAAAACCGACCACTGACATGATATCAAACAAAATTATATACGTGATCTATATAGGTATGTAAAACTACAGTCGAGTACGATTATAGAGAACACCGGTTATAGCTAACTTATTCTATACGAAAAAAATTCGTGGTCTCTATGTTTTAAGACGTATTGTTCATACAAATCTTTACTCTTATTGGGAATTACGGATATAACGAACTTTTTTATATCGAACTATTTGTTCGGTCACAACTTTCTGTTTTTATTTATTTTAATTCGGTTATACCGAACTTGCTACAAAAGTTAAATTAAACGTTATCTATGGAAAACTTTACGTGTAAATCGAAAGAAATATATATAGAAATTAACTGCGTGATTTACATAAAATGAGACTTAGGTATATATGTGAGTTATATTTAAATCTGAACAGATTTCAAACTCAACCATTCTAGACTAAATTCCATACCAGCTGCTAAATTTTGTGACTATAGAACAAACATAGACTCCTCGGTGCGCCATTTAATAAAATTGGACGAAAATATATTTGGGAGCTATATCTAAACCTGAACCGATTTTAACAAAACTTCACAGATGTCAACCTGTAATAAAACATTGACAGTACGGTGCACCCTTTACATGAAATCGGAGGAAGCTATATATGGGAACAATATCTAAATTTCAATTTCAACAAAACTTCGCATACATCAAAATGGACCTAGTTCAAAATTTTGTTTCAATCGGACCAATATTGGCAGTATGGCGCTCCATTTACATAAAATCGGACGAAACTATATATGGGAGCTATATCTAAATCTGAACCGATTATCTTCAATTTTAATAGGGTTCGTTTTGGGCCAAATTAGTGACATGTGCTACATTTCATCCAAATCATATCATAAATGCGACCTGTACTTTGTTCACAAAATTACATGACAGACAGACGGTCGGAATGATTTTATGCACATTCTCAGAAGGAACATATACACAAAGGCATTATACCTTGTACCACAGTGTGATGAAGGGTATACAAATATATATGGGAACTATATATAAATCTGAACCGATTTGTCCCAAGTTCAATAGGGTCCTTGGCCCAAATAAAGGAGCTGTGTCAAATTTAATTCAATGCAGATCATAAATGTGACCTTTACTTTGTTTGCAATTTAATATGGACAAACGGACGGTCATGCATAAATCGACTCAGAAATTGATTCTATGCATATTCTCAAAAGGAACCATGTGTCTATCTCGTTTCCTTTTGCCTGTTACAAACACATGCACAAGACATAATACCATGTGGGAACGATATAAAAATAGCTTTGCATTAGCCGAACGGTATTTCAAAAACATCAGCATCCTGTCTTATGGATATGAAGCTTATCCAAAATCATGTTATTGAATTCTTCAATGTTGACAAAGGCCTTACATAAAAAGGTTATACCGCAATTGAATTTGTGTGCTACTAATCCAAGCATTTGTATACCCTACACAATTATATAAGAGTATTATAGCTTTGCGTGTTCCAAGAGTTTGCTAAGACGCGAAATATTGGTATAAACCCACCTTTAAATATACGGATCATCATATCTCGACTAGCTGATTCGAACTAGACATATGTGTTCGTTCGTCTGTCCATTATAATGTTTAAACACACTATAGGCCACAGTTTTGGACGAATCATATCGAACCGAAGTATGTAGCTTCTGATCGGATCAAGAAAGACCCCGATTGGTATTGGTAGTGATCCGTTAATATTTTGGAGACTGTATTTGGCCACAATTATGACCGAGCAACAATAATTTAGCATGGATAAAGGGATCTGACAAAGGAACAATTATGGCTCTTTTCATAATAATAGGTCAATATTCAGCTGGTCAAATGCACTTAGACTTAGACTATGGCGTATATATATATATACTTCTGACGGACAAAGACCAGATTGATAGAATATCCAAGAGAAGTTTTTGACCTTTAAATTGATACCAATTATATTCTTGTATGTACTTAGATGTGGCAGTTATACTAGCATAATTACAGATTTCTACGTAGTTATTTAGTTAGTTACTACACTAGAAGGTGAACATTTTGCGCGGATTACTACGAAGTTTTACAGGAAGTAGGAAGGACACCTACAAATTTAAGTGATTACCAGATGGTATTTAGGGGATGTAATGGAGAGAAAGCTATATTTCTGTCTGCTTTATTAGTGCTACATTATTGTGAACCGAACGTCACAAATTTTACACAGAGATCTGGCCAATTATTTAGAATGGCTGCTTTAAAAATCATGGGTCAATATTTAGGGGACCATATAAACCAAGCCTTCAGTGCGTGAAATAACCAAATTTGAATAGTATGGCGAAAATGTTTACGGCGTGGAAAAATAAATCAGAAAATATGCCAGGGCAAGAAAAATGAACTATTGACTTCTAATCGATTAAGAGGGTGCAAATATCGCGACATATCGCCCATGCTCAGAATATAACACATTCTCTCTATATATGCAAAGGTCTCGTGTCATTTTCAGTATGGAAATTTAAAATGGTATAAAACCTCGACCGATAATGCGCATGTGTGAAATGTGCACTTCTGTCGGCCTGAACTAAATGTTGTTTTAACTTGCTGGAAATGACAAATTTGCACAGGATTATTTAGTTAATAGTTTTTTCCTTGGCATACATCAGAAATGTGGAACACTAAGGCGCGGGCAATATTTGATATGCTATAGGAATCACAGTTCCAATCCCAGTCGGACCCAAGCTGAAATTCTATGTTGGATTCTATGATTATTTAGTTAATAGTTTTTTCCTTGGCATACATCAGAAATGTGGAACACTAAGGCGCGGACAATATTTGATATGCTATAGGAATCACAGTTCCAATCCCAGTCGAACCCAAGCTGGAATTCTTTGTTGGAACTCAATTATCTGTGTCAATAATTGAAGTATTTACACCGCACAGATTTTCGTGATTGACATCTGTTTTCGTAAAACCAATAGAAAATTCCCAAACATTTTACACCAACTTCGTAATAGTATTTGTATCCACAAACACTAACATACCATACCGTATTCTCTCTTTGTCGGTTTTTAGAATCATTTGAACTATTTTTAGCAGGCATTAGTTTTTGGGGTCTGATATTTTGGTTTGTTATTTGATTTTTTTATAATTTGGTTTCCGGTGAAACATATCCGTTTTTTCCAAATCTTTTTCCATATATGTTACAATTTTATTTATATTTGTTGATTTATATATATAAAACACCATGAACACGAGAATGTGTGAATTTGGATGTGTATATTTCAGGCAGGAACCTTTTTTTTCAATGAATCTATTTGCCCACTTTGCTAAAGTTTTACAGGTTGTTAGCCATCCATTGTCGAGGAGCGGGGAGATCGTTTCTAGTTTGTTAACTCTAAACAACAACCTTGAATTTGAAATACGGTTGTTTTTGTTGTCGATGTCCTTTTTTCTGGCATTTGCCGTTGTTGTCGTTGTTGTTATTTTATTGAGTGTAGGATTACATTTTATTTAATTTGTTGTACGCCATGCCACCACCTTTTTTATCCTATTTGCTGTCAGCCACGAGATTCGGGCTATATTGTTAGTGGATATTTTTCGACACGATTTATTTGATTTGAATGTTGGTGAGTTGTTGGCTGGTTCACTGTTGCATGAGTTCGGGTCGTTGTGCATGGGTGAGTGTGTATGTTTGTGATTATTTTTCTGGGTGTATGGGTGTGTGTAATTGAGTAAATTTAAATTGATATGTTGGTTTTTAGTTAACTTGTATTGACAACTAGGCGTTTTACTGTCAATTTGGTGTTTTTTATTTAATTTTCATTTTTAGAGAGGATAGATTTTGGCATTTTATTCTAGTTGTTGTTGTTTTTTTATTTAGGAACTGTTGATGTTGAATTGTAGGTAGTTGTTGCTGTTGTTTTTTAGATTTAGCTTTGCTTTTTATAACATTTGTGTTAGCACTTGGTTTAGGAACTTATGTTTCAATTTTGTTATAGTTTGATGATCATATTTGTTTGTTGTTGCTGTTATTGATTTATTTGTTTTTTTTTTTTATTAAATTTCATTTACATTTCTATGGTAAAAATATTGGAATTTTTTTGTATATGATTTCATTATTTAATGTAATAATACGAGTATATCCACAATATTTCTGGAAATTGCTTGTGACAATATAATCGTTTTGTAAATCGTTTGTTTTATTTTTGTAATATTTTTCTAATGAAATTATGGTAAACGGATAATCGGAGAGGAATTTTAGTAAAATATTTTTAGCGTCTGTATTCAATTGACAGTTTTTAAGTTTAAAAATAATAATCTGGATAGTTCTACACCGGTATGGAATTGA